CAACCCAATGAGAAACCCAGTAGGCCACCAGGTATACTCTTCTCATTTGTCAGTGACTCACTGTGTGCTGGGAACTGTTAGGGCATGTGGCCGTCATCATCTCTGTGAAGCCGCCTCCCCTCAGAGAAGCTCAGAGTTCATGGGGAAGGAAAGCCAAGGCAGGGCAGTGGGTCTGTGGCATGAGGCAGTACAGGCACCGAAGAAGGAAGCTGGAGAACACGAGGCTGGAGGTGAATCTGGAAAGACAGGCAGCGAGGGGCCAGAGGGAAGGAGCTTGAGGATGAGGTGAACAGCCACTGAGGACAAAGGCGTGAGTAATCGAGAGAGCTTAGGGTCTGGGGCTAACACAGTCACTAGGATCATATTTTTAGTAGATTTTAGTTAACCTCACCAATTGGTAAAGCGTGTGTGTGTGTGTGTGTGTGTGTGTGTGTGTGTGTGTGTGTGTTTCCTAATAAGCTTTTATGCCAGAACAGTCTTGGAGTTAAAAGGATTTAGAAGCACACATGGGCCAGAAGGGTCAATGCTCGGATGAGAGCAGAAAGATTTGAGGGCTAAAATAATCGACCGTGTGGCCCTGTTGCTTGGATGGCATTGTGTGCTTTTTCCAGGAGTAGAAGGGAGAGAGGGTCGCTCAAGAGCTCCTCTGAGAAAGGCATCTGTGCTCTAGTTAGAGGGGCAATGGGTGGCGAGGCCTAATGTCTCTGTAAATGGAGCAGAAATATCACACTGGTGTTTCCTCTGCATGAGTGCAAAGACACAGGCATTTTCCAGATGCCGAAACATCATGAAAAAGAGACGAAATGGAGCCAAGAAGCAGCCCTAATGGGCCATGGTATGGCAGAGCTGAGGATTAAGAATGAGTGACAGCAAGCAGGGACACGATTTTGAAGAACAATGACAAAGTCAGCTTTTCGGAGATTACAGCCAAATGGAGCAATGCATGGCCTGACGGACCCAAGTCCATTGGACTAAAAGGCAAACCGTTTGTCTGGAAAGAGAAGAGATTAAATGAGAAATACCTGTTAAGCTACAAACAGCAGCACCTGCTGGATGTGGCCTCTGAGCGGTGTTCTACGTGCTGAGACACCCTAGGTGTTGTGAACACTGAAGCCAGCCGATAGTTACTCCTGAGCTACTTCACACTGTGTTCTCCAGCCAGATCCAACTATGTGTGTTCGCAGTCCCTCCAGGGGCCCGACTGCTTTCACCACTGGCCTTTGCTCGCCAGCATTTCGTTATCCGGGCCTCTCTCTATCCAGGAGACCTCATAACTCTTGTTGATGATTTAAGTAGACTTTCTCCAGGATGCCACTTTGACTGGACCGTGGTAGGTTAGGGTTTCCCTTCTCTTTCCCTTTGTGACCTCCTGCTTACCGTGCACTTGTCCTGGCTCTCGCCTCTAGTCTGCGACCTCCTGAAGGACAGGGCCCTGCCCCCGCCCCCGCCCCAGGTAAGGAGGCATACTTCATACATAATACAATTCGCCCTTTGTAAGTCTGCGTTTTGATGAGTTTTGACAAATGTACACAGATGTATGACTGCTACCATAATAAAAGAGAGGGAGGGAGCAAGGCAGGGAGAGGAGAGGAGAGGAGAGAAGAGGAGAGGAGAGGAGAGGAGAGGCGAGGCGAGGCGAGGCGAGGAGAGGAGAGGAGAGAGAATGTACATTACCCTCAGCAAGTTCCCTTAAGTCCCTTTAAACTCAAACTGCATCTCTACCTTGGGATCCTAGCAACTACTGGTGTGTTATCTGTTCCTATACTTTTGCCTAAGGGCATCAAGGAGCAAGATATTCTTAAGGTTTAGCTTCTTTACTCAATCAAAACTGCTCTAGACAGTCTTCTATGCCATCAATACCTTTTTACTGTTGACCCTTATCCTCTGTATAAATATAGTCAAGTTTGTTGCGATCACTGGCTGACGGCCATTTGTGTGGTTCACAGTTTGGCACTTGGAATGGCTAATATTATGTATCACCTTGGCTAGGCTGTTCTTAGTCGTTTGTCCTCTGGAGAACCCAGACTCAGAAAGCTCTATTCTAAATGAATGTTCTTCTACGTTTGCATGCATATTTTTGTATTGAGATTATATGGTAATATCCCATTGTGGTGGTTATTTATCTACCCTAGTATCTTATTGATATTGAGCATCTTGTCGTGTTCTTATTTGCCATCCATACATTTACTTGGGTGATAGATATGTTCAAATTTGTGATAGGTCTATAATACATATATATATACATACATACATATAATTTGATTATTTATCTTATAATGAGTTGTAAACATTTTAAATATATATTCTGAATGTAGATTCTTTAGGAGTTATGTCTTATAGTTTCTCCAAGTCTACGTTTAAAAAGAACATTTCTAAACAGTTTTCTTGGAAAAAAGTTTATAATTTTTAATAAAATTTGATCTATCATTTTTAATTTTTGTGGTTCATGCTTTCTGTTTCCCTTCTAAAATGTGCTTGCCTACTCCAAGGGCATTCAGATTTTCTTCTATGCTTTCTTTTAAAGCATTTTAAAAAACTTTTTATTGTAAAGGTTTACAGAGCAGGTCATCAGTTTTTCTATTTAACAACGTATCAAACCTCCCCAAATCTTGTCCTGCTTCCATGTGTTTTGCTCATCTCCCTTTGGTCAGAGCCTACCCTCCCCCTTATCGCTTTGTCTGCCCTCGAGCCTGAGACTTCCTCTTCTCTCCCCCACTGGTCACCACCAAAAGTCGCGCTTCCTTGATTATTTATAACTCTCACAGTCGGAACTATGATCATTCTTCTAAAGATACGTTTTTATCTCTGATGTGATATATATATCATGATTTTTTTCTTGGGGCAGCTATCCAAATTTTACAGTGGCATTAATGAAAGACTATGTTTCCCCTCCACTAACCTTTGTTAGAAATTAGTTGACCAAAAAAAAAGAAAGAAATTAGTTGACCATATATATGCATATCTATTTCTAGATTCCTTATTCCGTTCTGTTGATCTGTATGTCTGTGTATATGTTATATGTCAATATTACACAATCTTGAGTAGAATAATTTTTACAATGGGTTTTGGAACCATGTAATGCCAGTCTTTCAACTTTAATTTTCTTTGAAAAAATTTTGAGTGTGTCAAGTCTTTTTCATGTGCAAATAAATTTTAGAATTAGCTTATCTCTTCTACAAAGAAAAAGCAAAAACAATAATAATCCCCACTGGAATTTTGATTGCAATTGAGTCTATAGATCAATTTGATGAAAATGTTTATCTAAGTGACATTGAGTATTTCAAATCTCTTATGTTGCTGATCTCTCCATTCATTTGGTTTTCGACGGATTTTTCAATGTCTTGGGGTTTTCAGTGTACCCATGTTACACATATTTTGTGAAAGCTATTCCTAAGTGTTTTATGTTATTTTGATGCTGTTGTACATCATATTTAAATGATAAATTGTTACATAGAAATAGAATTGCTTATGCATAGCAATAAACTTTTTAAATTGACTTTGTGCAAATGACCGTGCTAAGCTACTTTATTAGTCCTTTTAGGTTTTATGTTTGTTTCTGTTTTGTTTTATTCCATGGAATTCCATCAATTCTGTGTGGATTCCATGGATTCCACATGGTCTGTGAATGAACACAGTTTTTCTATTTCACTTTCAATCTTTGCATCTTTAATCTTTGCTTCTTGTCTGATTTCACTGCATGGATTCTCTGGCACAGTATGACTGGAAGTGATAAGAGTGGATATTCTTGTTTTTTTCTTGCTGTTAGGGAGAAAAATTTGCTATTACACTATTATGATGTTTGCTTTTTTTGTTCTTTATTAGGTTAAATAAGTTTCCTCTACCCCTAGTTTGCTAATAGTTTTCATTATGAAAGGATGTTGAATTTTGTCAAATGCTTTCACCAGGGATTTTTGGTTTTGTTGTTCATTTGCTTGTTTTCATTTTATCCCCAATGCTTAGACTATTTCCAATATGCTTCATCCCCTCAAGCCATTTGTTAAATGAATGAAATAGGGCTTAATACCTCTGGGTCTACAAAACCATGTCTTAGCCACTCAGCAGCATCGCGATGGTTAAGGGACTAAGAATAGTTGAACATCCACTCCATGGCCATGTGCTCAGCAGTTCTAATCCACCAGCAGCTCTGCGATAGAAAGAACTCAGTTATCTGCTTCTCGGGGGCTATTCTACGCTGCCATCGTGGTCGCTAGGAGTCGACACTACCCTTCCCCTGCCAATTTATCACCCTGTACTGTTTCCATTTTGCTAGGATCTATGGTGCTAGTTCAATTACCAGTAGTGTCCCGCCTGGTGGCTAGGGTTCCGCGAGCTTCCAGACCAAAGCGCACTAGGAAGCAGGACACGATCAGCTCATCTGGGAAAAAAGCGGCGGAGGAAACCTGTGGATAGTAGCAGGACCTTGTCTGCTATTGGAACAATCCTCATTTCAAAACCACTACCCTGTTTCCCTGAAAATAAGACAGTGTCTTATATGAGTTTTTGCTCACAAATATGCGCTAGGTCTTATTTTCAAGGGATATCTTATTTTTCCATGAAGAAGAATATGGTGCATGTTTATTGTTTATCGTTTTATTAAAAGAGACCTTGCACTTCCTGTCTGCTCCGACTGCGCTGCGGCCAACAGTGAGCTGCACAGTGGCGCCCGCCGCTAAGGTCCAAGGTCTAGAGTTAAGATGGTTGGGGGGATGCTTATTTGGGGGGAGGTCTTATTTTAGGGGGCATGGCTTATATTTCAGCGAGAGGCAAAACTGTAAGTAGGTCTTATTTTCGGGGGATGCCTTACTTTCGGGGAAACAGGGTAGCATCTATGCAAGAGAAAAATTGGGCTTTCTACTCCCTTTGGTTGGCACCTATTAGTGGTTCATAGCAAATGAAAATTAGAGCTTTTAACACATCTTTAATAATTTCTATCTACATTGGGCATCCAGAAATATAAGTAGTGAGATTTTGGTGAGACAAAGCTCCATTGTCTTAAGCAAATGGGCATGTTTGAGTCCCAGTACTGCCCCTAACCTTCTAAATGAGTTGGGTGAGTTTTTGAACCTCTTTGAACTTCTCTGGAGCTTCCTTGCATGTAGAGTGGAACTAAACAAAAACAAAAACTCCCTGCCATCAAGTCAATTCTGACTCAGCGTGACAGGACAAAAGAGAGCAGCTAGTGGGTTTCTAAGATGGTATTCTTTGTGGGAGTAGAAAGCCTCATTTGTCTTCTACAGAGCGGCTGGTGGTTTCAAACTGCCAGCCTTGCGGCTAGCCCTGTGCCTTTGCTCAATTTTGGGACTGTCTCCTAGGATTCTAGGATAGGAGCCTATAATTGGATAAAGACACTATTGATGATAGGGTTATGACTTAGTTATTCAAATGATGATCTTAAAAGTCATTTTGTTTGTTTGTTTTTTCCTATTGTTTTCTAGTCAACAAGCACAAGCCTTGGATTGAGACTTCGTATCATGGAGTCATAACTGAGAACAATGACACGGTCATTTTGGATCCACCCCTTGTAGCCCTGGATAAAGACGCCCCAGTGCCTTTTGCAGGTAAGATCAGATGGCTTCCTGTGGTTGAGCTTGGCTCACTTTGGACACATCTGCGGGGTTGTCATGAAGCCCACGCCAGGGCGTGCTTGTATTGCAGCCAGAGAAGCTTGTGGTGTGACAGCTGTGTGCCTCTCAGTTCTGTGTGGCTTCTCTATTGACTTCCTTAGGGTTCCCCATCATCTTCTTCTCTTGTTTCTTCCCCGTGGAGACACTTGCATGCCTTCTTCCTAGTGACGGTTACTTACTCGTGTGGTCCGCGGAGCGGGAGGAATTGAGCCGGAAAGATTTGGAAGGGGTTTCAGAAGATGACCTATTCACATGATTACCTGTGTGGTCCACTGTTCCTATTGCCCACCTGTCAGGGGCAGGGAAGACTTGTCGATTGGTGGATTCGTAAGATCCAATGGGGAAGGAAATAAAACAAAAAGAACAAGACATATTTGCCCAGAGGAAACTCTAGTCCTTGAGCTGCTCAGGGGGTGTCTTTTGGAGAAGTGCCCAGGCTGAGCCATTTTGCTCTCCACAGGGCTTCTTCTCACTGCCTTAAGGACTCCCCCGGTTTCCCCCTGTGGTCTCCTGGAAGGACCAGGTACCCAGAGGGATGTTTGAAGAATCGGGATATGACACCGTTTCTATGGATTTGGGCAAAGAGACAGACAGGGATGGGTACTGGCAGAGGAAAGAGGGATTGGACAAAGAATTTCTGAAGATGCTTGCATCACGAGTAATATTGTTAATATTTTATAACTGTCAGGAGAAAGACAAGAAATGTAATGAAGGTTTTCAAGATTTCTAGGAGATTGCTTTATGATAGATGGGTGCCTGGCCGAGGTTTTCACCATAAATGAAGTCTATTTTTTCTGACAGTCTGCTACATTATGAGCTCCTTGGCAGGAAAGAATGGGCTCTTTTCCACTTCTAAGAGATAAGCTTTGTGAAGACCCTATTTTCATCACAGAGCATTAGGAAGTAAGGACTGAGGGGGTGGGTTAAGTGGGGAATCTCAGCCTTCTGTGAAGGTAAACCTGTAAGCGTTCCTACAGAATGGGAGCAGGAATATTCTCAGCCCTCAAAAGGCTTTTCTTTATTTTGAGTAGGATGATAGCCACATGGCTGAGATTTCTTAGGGTGTTTAAAGTTGGTGTTAAAACGCTTTCTGACCATTCTGAGAGGCCCCGGGGTGGCCATGCTCCATGGGGTCTTTAGCAAACACGTGTCCTTAAGGCTGAGCTCTGCCCTGTACCTTCTGTGTGACTTCAGTGAGTTGTTGAGCCTCTCTCTGGAACTTCTGTGGGTCTGAAATGGAACTAACATGCTTTTTAATCCCAGTTGGCTTTTTGGATGAGAGGCTAGAATTGGGCAAATGCACTCTATTAGTGATATGATTATGAATAAGTTATTTAAGCAAAGGTACACCCTATGTCTTTTCCATAAAAGATGGGGCCTTTTCCACAAATCTTCTGTGTCAGCTTGTGGCAACCCCAACTCCTTCTCGTCTTTGACCTCACACGGCACTGAGGTTCATCAGCAATCCCCTGAAAGTGGCATTTTACAACAAGTACTAACACAAATGCTTGGGCCATGCACCTGTTGGTTACACATGCATTATGCGCTTACAAATTGCCAACATTTAGACAGTGGGGGATCTTGCATGAAAATGCAGGATGTTGGTGTATCTTGATGGATCAGATCTGAAGCACCAAGAGGCTGCAACACGTTCTTAGAACAATCCCGTTCTCTTCTCATCCTGTTTTTGCTCCAACTTTTAAAGGGCCCCTCAGACATAGCTGAGTTGTGCATCCCCTGTTTGCCTGAACACATGTCTGTAGCTGCCCTGAGTCTCTCCCTTCCCTCCCAGCGGATATGCCAAGGGCCTTCCCCAAAGTCAGGGCCCCTCCCTCACCTTCCCTTTCTTTAAAACCTAATACAGAAAATCCCCAGTAAAATAAACGGGGAGTAACTGGATGCTGTTAAGCTCATTTCAGGCAAGTTTTGGGTTTGAAATATGGAGTATAAAAGATCATTTAATGTCCTTGGCTGTAGGATGGACAGACAATTAATAGCATCACTGGAAGATTCTTCAATTGCATTCACACTCAAATTTGCAGCCTGGCCGTGGCATGTGTCTGCTGGCTTTCGGGAAGCTAAGATATGCTGCTAAGTCAAGCCCTGAGCAGTTGTTCCTATCCAAGGACAATTTCTCCACTCTTCCGGATATTTGCAGGTGCATTAAAAAAAATAAGGCTAACTTAGTGCATCAGCATATAATCTTCTGGGCACATAAAAGTAAAAAATAAAGGTGCGTCTCAGAATGGCCAAAGCCATTTTTCTCAGTGTTATTTATGGGAGCTCCGAGAGAGGACACAGACACCAGCCATCCATCCTTGCTGCAGGCACTTGTTTTGAGACATTTATCTTTAAAAGAAAATACTGGAGATTTGCTTCAGATCCCTATCATTCTCATAAAATTGAAAAATTCATATCTGTCAGCTCCATCACTTCTAGAAGGCAGCTGACGGCTTGAGTCCCCTTAGCCCCACGCCTGTCCTTAGCACTGCTCGTGGATTGTGAGAAAGTCTGTTCTAGCTCTTTCCCAGTGGTCTTGATTTCCAGTTTAGCCCAACAGGCGAGCTACTGGCTTGTTGGAAGGCAGTCCTGTCCACATCATTTCTCTCTCCCGCATTGTGCTTTCTGGGCCGCCTGCTCACTTTTAAAACCTTGATAGGAATTATTTCCTACACTCAGTTGCTGCTAGAATTTCATTGAGAAGACATATGGGGTCCCAGGGAAATTTTATTTAGGTAGAAGTTAGGATTGGAGTTTTCCTTATACATGTAAAGTACAGAGATGTAAAACTAGCTGTCACTGTATATCTTTGGATTATAAGAGTAATCAGTGTTTATTGGCCAAAATGTGGCAAATATAGCAAACCATAAAGGAGAATTCACCAAGTGCGTATTTCCTACCGGATGAAAAGTCTCTGCTTACATTTCAGTGTGTTTCCGCTCAGGCATTGTGGGATCCTTTTACTTCCAGAGATTTCAGCACATCTCTTATTTCATGCTGGGATCGAATTTCCCCACGAAATCGGTGAAAGTACCCTGTTTCATGAAATAGTCTTCTGCCACCGATTAAACAGTTGTACGATTTTTCACTCAAGGCACACACTGTAGTTGAACATTCTTTTACTGATGAACAATTTATCTCCCCTTCTTTTATTACAACAGGTGCCCACATTTCAGATTCCTCCTTTTCAATGGTTTCCAGAGTTGGAATTAATTAGTTGAAGGATATGGACATTTCAAGTTCCCTGCAACCTCCCCAATTGCTTTCTGGAAACGTCTGCTCTCGTGGGTTCAGTCATGCTAGGCTTTCCCAACCCTGCCCTGGATGGGTCTGCTGGGCGGTGTGAGTTACTGACCGTGGAGGAGAGGCTGACTGTACTGTCTTCCTATGTAGAATACTGGAAGCTGCCCACAGCTATTATTTTGATTTAATTGAGAGAATGTCTTTGAAATGTTGTGCATAGATTCAGACACAGAAGCTTAATAAAGCCAAGTTCTCCCTTTCAGACTTCCCTGACTCCCTGTTTCATCGGGGAGGTAAGTAACTCACAAGCCGTTGGTGGCAGCCGAGCCTCTCATCACTTGCCCAGCCGCTCCTTTCTGGGTGGGCTTCCCCTTGGGTTCCTGCCCCACCTTATTAGCGAAGCGGCTGCCCTCAGTCAATGGGGCCTCCCTCCGACTTCAGTCAAGACCATCAGGCTTGGCCAATTCTAGTCCCATGTCTGAGCCCTGTAGCCATGACCTTCTTAGAGAATCAGATGCAGGCGAATCCTTGAGTAATAATGGAAATCCTGTCCACTGCATGGCAAAAAATGATAATGAAAGCAAGCTGGGCATACTGTGAACTTATTAATTTCTACATGAGCCCCACTGAGGCTTGTTAGGAGGCTGTGGGGACTTTTAAATTTGAAGGGAATTAGATTGCCTTTCAGAGATAATAGAACTGCTCATTTGTCTACATTGTGCCAGGGTGGACTTGTCTTTTAGAAGGACAGGGCTGCAGAGAATGATCAGGCATAATTGGCTGCCTTCTCAGGCTGGGAGACTCTCTGAAGGCTGCCTAGAAAATTGCCTGGGATGTGGTTTGACCGGATCTGATTAGCGGGCGGAAGTGCTGGTTGCAGCCTGGGATGCTCTCTTCCCTGGTTAACGCCACTTGTCCTCCCTGTTCTCCTCATCATCTGCCCACCTGTCTGCCCCGTCTCTTTGGACCCACCCAGGTCTGAGTTGCCCAGTGGCAGATGGCTTGCATGGCCACAGGGCCACATGGTAGAAAGAGATAGCAGAGGTGGTGAGCTCGGCCACTTCCTAACTGACTGATCTTGGATGATGACTTGGCCCCTCTGAGGGCCGCTCCTTTACATTTAAAATGGAGGGAATCCGAGTCCCTCCCTCCAGGGTTTGCATAGGACTGACTTGCCATTCTAATGCAATGTGTCCAGACTCTGCGGCAGCCAGGAAGAGATAATACGCCACAGCTCTGGTGACCATAGCAAGAGCCACAGTGATGCTAACTGTGATTCTCGTCTTCATTGACCTGTAAGTGCCGTATTCCCTGTAGATTGATTGGGATGAGGTCATTGCCATGTGTGATAGTGATGCGGAGGAAAGAAGCAAAGTCACTCACTTGGACCATCCCACTCTATTACCCGGGGTGGGCCGGAGGGGGGCGTGTCAGTGTCGTGTGGGCTGGACACTCGGTGGGTACAAGTGGCTGGTGGATTGTGTATCTCACTGCCGTTGAGTCCGCGCCGACTCATAGAACCCTGTAGCGCAGGACAGAACTGCCTTCATGGGTGTCCGAGACTGTAGCTCTTTGCAGGGTGGAAAGTCTCCTCTTTCTCCGGTGAGTTGTATAGTACTCTATAAATATTAGTTACTTGGTATCATTTTCATATGTGCTGCCTGTTAACTTCTTCTGGTGGAGTAATCTGT